GCGACGTGCCACCGTGCACGCTGGTTCGGCCGTGCCAGCGAAGAAGAAGTGGTTTTGGTGGACCCGCCGGGTGTGGGCGACGGCGAGCGGGATGCCACGAGGCTGGCACAGGTGGTGCGGATGCTCCGCGACTTTGGCTATGTGAACCTCTTCGTGGTGGTCCTCAACGCAGAGCAGCCGCGCATCGGCAGCATCCTGGAGAATTTGCTCCGTCTTATGGAAGAGTGCTTCGGCAAGCGCTTCTGGCGGCACGTCGTCTTGGCCTTTACGCGCTACTACACGGATCCCCGGTCCGCCCGGCGCCGCGGCAACAAGACACGGGACATGATGCGCGAGGAGCATGTGAGTCGTGCTTGCACGTGTGCATGTTCCGCCTGGCGCATTGGGCCTTGCCCGTTGCTTGCCCGCTTGACGCTGCCAGGAGTTCAGCGCACTGCTGGCGGCCCAGTTCCCCCACTCCCTGGAGGAGCGCCTCCCGCGCGGCGAGCCCTTCCCAAGCGGCTTGGAACAAATCATTCACGCAGTTCCTGCTTTCAACAATTTGTAACGACGGGTAGATGGCCCAAGTCCTCTGCTTTCACAACTTCTGCCAGCCTGAAGGCTACTTCGTGGATTCCGAGGCGGTAGTCAATCCGGATCTGCCTGAATCGGAGAGGATTGCGGGTGATGTACTGGGCGGAAGATAGCAAGAAGTGTAGGCGGAAGATGCTGGCAAAAGCTTGCGTCCCACAGCCTGCTGTCATGGTGCCTGAATAGTGAACATCCACGTCGAAGAACAGGAAGGCTGCTTTCCTGGAGCTGGAGCGCCTCTCCGTGTTTGCTCGGTCCAGCCACCAGCTTCCAACGTGGGGGGCTTGTTGCAGTTTGAAGTGAAGTTGCCTTGACTGCAGAATCTGTTGCTGATTAGCTGGTAGGACAGCATGCAGTGTTTCGGGCACCAGGCCCATCGCCGTTCATGCAGCTGCGCACGGTCAGTTTCGTTAGATCTTGGTAGGGCCGGCATAACGAACCCTAAACCGCAGAACTTTGAACCCAGAGGCCTTAAATCATGGCAAGCGGGCGTCTCGAGGCAGACGCGCTGCGATGATGGGAGCACTTCCAGCCTTCGGAGCCCATCTCCAGCCAGAAGCAAGGACTTGAGTTCAGGGACGCCTCAAATAAGGACCTAAGAAGAAGGGCACAGAAGCGAGGACTCCGAATTACAGTTGGGTATTGGCCCTCGTCCTGCTAAAGGGATCCCGATGGGTGGTGTGCTTGCGTCGGGCTTGTTTGCTTTCCAGCTTCACAGACACGACCATCCTGGCATCTATGCTGGACATAGGTCTATATGGCATATCGCAGATGATGGTTTGCCCTGAAACTTTCCCCATGACTTCAACATGAAGCTGTCAAACTCCAAATCCAATTTTGAGTAGGGTCCTGCCCGAATTCGAACAATCCAATCTTAAAGGAGCCAGAGCCAACGTCCGATGTCGATGTAGACGACTCGACCTCACAGCCATCCAGCTGCATTGAAGCGCTCGTTGAGGGTCATGCCCATTTGCTTGTGAAATCGAGGATCAGTGTTATGAGTGATGCAATGGCCTTGCATAGGGTATGCCTCGTAGACATTACCAGGATCTCGAAGCGTGCATACGATTTCGTTCCCAAGGCGTCTAATTCTAAATCCTCATGCGCTGGCACGCTTCATGGCTGAGGGAAGATGGCGGTCTGTAAGTTATTCTCATAAATCCGGTTCAGGCACCCATGCCCAACTTCATAGCAGACTGGATAACCCAAAAACTCACTTCGTGAGAGTGACCTTTCCGTGGACTTTCAGGTTTACAGTCGGGTCGTGGGTCGTCGTCCACAACCTGGTGGAGAACACGTCGCTGAACGGCTCCTGGGCCGTGGAGAGTCATGGATCGCCAACCAGTTTCGCATAGCAGCTGCTGACATTAGTCAGTGGGTTCACGAAGCGCAGTGTTGACACTGGAGAGTCGAGAGACTGGCACTGTGCGACGTGAAGCCGCGTGTAGCTAAGTGTTGCGAGCTTTGCTTTTGGGACCCCGCATCAGCACGAGCATGGATGAGTTCTCCGAAAACTTGAGGATTTCTCTTTAAGGCCTTTGAGCACGCGGTCGTTTGAAGTCGAAGGGAGGGGGGGGTATTTGCTTGCCGTCATTTCTCTACGTAAATGGTGTCTTTTCATCCCAGATCCGGCCCCACGCATCATGTGCAGAGTTGATTCCAGTTTTGTTAGTGCGGCATTTTCTGCATCGCACGTGTGTGTGTGTGTGTGTGTGTGTGTGCGTGCGTGTGTGTGTGTGTGTGCGCGTGCGTGTGTGTGTTGTCTCTGTCCGTGTCTGTGTGCTTGTGGGCGTGTGTGCGCACGTAACGTCGGTGGGTTCTACCCAGGTGCCTGTGGGATCGTGGCTGAGTTTCATGAGGAGAACGGAAGGTATATCGTCGAGCTCGCCAATGGGTCCAGGAAGCCCTTCCACAGCAAAAATCTGAAGTCCAGCGAGGACTGAGCTCAAATGCATCTGAGCATATTTGAGGGGAATCGTAGGCGTGTGGTTTTGCCAGGAGTCGGAAGCGCCCTGCACTCCGGATCCTCACAGGGAAGGGGACATTGCCAGGATCAGTGGCCTTGCCAAGGCCACGTCTTTGAATGGCCAGATCTGCTATATTCGCTCACCGAAGGGCGCAGAGCGCTATGATGTACAGCTGGTCGACGGAAGCATGAAGGCCGTCAAGGCAGAGAATTTGAGCCTTCTCCGGCAACTGAGTTTCCAGTCGGGGGGGTTCGTATAAGATCCGTGCGCACAGTTGATCGCAGTCTCTTGACACCCTGAGTTTCCTTCTGTCTCATTGTCTGCCGAAGGACTGTGCTGCCAACTGCCGGCAGCAATGTTGCGACGTCGACTGCTGTCGAGGGCATGCTCGTGCAGCGTGGGCCATGTTGGAGCTGGGCCAATCAGGAGACGCATCCTTTCAGGTGTCGTTGTCTCTTCGGGGTCATGCAGGCTTACCCCAAATGAAGCCACTTCAAACAACCTGGTTGCAACTCCCAACTTAGACCCCTACGGTAGCAGGAACATAGCTCCCATGTGCAGCCGCAGGATGGAGGCTTGGGTTGTGTGGGCCATGTGCTGAAGTCCGACTCCGAAACCGGTTGGGTGCGAGTGCGTTGGAACAGTGGCAAGACGAACCGCTACCGGGCAGGGGCTGAAGGCAAGCACGACCTTTGCTCCGCAGATCCTTTCGAGCATGAACGTGCTTGCTTTCAAGCTTTGCAGAAGGGCAAAGGTGCAATCCGAGCTTGCCACTTGCAGTGCACTTTCGCTTATCCACTCGGTGTCGAAGCTGCCCATGTGAGTTTTTTCGATATCCGTGATGAGGTTTGCTTGGCTGTTGGAGGGAACAGGCATGGTCAGCGCGTCCAAGTCGGTGGACGGCAGGCTGTTGCAATCGGTGTGGCTCCGCTCTCCGACTCCTCAGGAGATGTGCATCTGTACTATCATGTTGATGGAGCTGAAGGAGCTGGGGTATTCGAGGATAGTGACGAGAGGCGAATCAAGCCACTGCACCGCCAGAAGGTGAGAGAAGCCTCCCACCTCCCTTCCAAGGACAACATGACCATGCTAAAGCTGGCAAAAGATGTGACTCCGACGTTCCGCTACATACGTGCTGCCAACAGCCTGTTGGCTGCCTCGTTGGACCTTTTTGACATCCGAGACGAGATCTGCGTATTGGTAGGCGGCTACAAGCATGGACAAGTCATCCTTGCCGGTGGTATATCAGGGTTGGTCATCGGTGTTCTTTTGTACGAAGGCCTCCCGATGCTGTTTCTCCACATGGACGGTTTGCCAGGTGCCGGTACGTTCAACGAGCTCGCGGAGATGAAGTTCAGAGTTGTTCCGGCCCGAGTTGTTGGTGTTCTCTGTCTTGGAGCAATAGGTTCTTGGGGGCTAGAGCACACTGTGACATGAATCAAGCTGGAGCTGTCTAAGGTGGGTTCGCGGGTGGTGGAAGAGACGCCTGCCGACTTTCTCGACGAACCGGAACCATCACCCGAGGTCTTGGCGTTGGCAGCGCGCCTTCAATGTGACTTCAGCTACCCCTGTGGCACCTTCTCTCCACATCTCGACAGCTTCGATATACGAGATGAAGTGTGCGCCGCAGTTGGAGGCTTTCTGCATGGGCAGGTGGTTGAATGCGAGGATCTGGCCCGAGTACACAAGGAACTATTCGAGAAGCACGGCGACATACCCAAGCTGTACCGTGGCACGGTCATCGGGGTTAAGCTCAACAGCCAGAGTGTTCCAGAATTGATGTTCCACCAAGATGGCTGTGCCGGAGCAGGTACATATCCAAAATACCACCTTTTCCGCAAGCAGCTCAAGGTCGTTGGACAAAAGTTGTTGGAGCCCGTTTCCGTGCCGCCGGATCCCTCGTTCAGGCAACCGGGAAGTTCTACTCCAGCCTGGGAGCCGTGGGACTCGCTTCTGCAAGACTTCCTGCGGTCGATGCAGGTCAGGTTTGCTCAAGAGTCCGAGAGCAGCACCTACTTGGATCCAGACTTTGAGTATGATTACACCTTCCGCTACATGCAGAAGAACTTGGTGCCGGGCCTCTTTGACATCCGAGACGAAGTATGCATTGCGGTGGGGGGCTTCAAGCATGGCGACGTTCTGAGCCACCCTGGCGGTACTGCAGTCGTCATTGGGGTTCGGCCTGATAAGCGCGGCAAGCCTCAGCTATGGATGCATGACACCTCTGAACGTGGTGCCTTTATCCTTGGCGACGGGGAGCAGCAGCTCCTTCGCCATTGTGCGTCTGTGGTAGGGAAGAGGAAGCTGCAAGAGTTCCAGGATCCGGAGCCCCAGACTTTCAGTGCTGATTTCGTCCAAGGCTTGCAGTGTACTTTCCGGTATCCAGTGGGCCGCAAGAAGGTTCGCCCTGCCTACTTCGACATCCGTGACCACGTTTGCCTCGAGGTAGGTGGCTTCAAGCATGGGGAAAAGCTCTTCTATGATGACATGACCTTGGTTGTGGTCGGAGTGATGCTCGTCAAAGGCAAGCCGACCATGTTCTTTCAGCTGCTGGAGCCATGCCGGCACCGAGGAGCTGGAACTCTGCGCCGAATCGATGTGGAGAAGGCCTACATGAGGTTCATCGGAATGGAGCTGTTGCAGGAGGCAGCTTCGGAAGATTTCGACATGGATGAAGCCTCGGAGTCAGATGATTCTTCCTCAGGCAGCGCGGCTGCTGCAACTCACAACAACGCCAACGTCCCAGCAACTACGCCCGCTTCTGAAACCCGGCCCAACGAGCCCGAGATGTCCGGATGTGCTGTTCTGCTGCAGCTGTCAAGATGTGGCGCCAAAGTCAAGGAGGCCCTCCTGAGTTCAGCGGATTTGGCCGAGTGTCGCCAAGACGTCTTGGATGCCGGCTGCGAGATCACTCCCGAGTGGGCGAACGGAGCTGTGCTACTTGCTCCCCTGACCGAGGAAAAAGCCACGGAAGCCGGATTGAAGCTCCGCGCGCACCACGTCGTGGCTTTCGAGGGCGACACCGACCGCGTGCGAGCCGCTCTGCAAGGTCTGCCATGCAAATGGCGCCCTCGCATAAATGGACCCAGCAAGCTGGAGCAGCTTGTCTAATGAAATACCGCAGCAGCATTTTGCTTCGACAGCACATGCTCGCAACACCCCACACCGTACCTCCAAGGCAAGCCGCAGAGGATCGGCCGAGACGTGCTGAAGGCGATGCGGGCCCCTCTCAGAGCAGTGGCAGAAACCAGGACGCTCTGTCTGTCTGTCCGTCCGCCCGCCCGGCTGCCTGTCTATCTGTCTGTCTGTCTCTCGCTCTCTCTGTCTGTTTGTCTGTGGATTTAGGCATTTCGGATTTCAAGCTGTTCCGCAAGAGTTCGTACATGAATGGAAGCCTCTCGAGACTTCCCCTAACACACGGGACTTTTAGTATGCGCTACTAGGCAGAGCTTGACCTTCGGCTGGCCATTGTGCATGCGCAGATACCCATCTTGATTGCAAACATTGTCGGCGCATGCCTCGTCCTGTACAACAATCAAACAGCCAACATGTCGAGTATGCTCTACATCTACATTATATGACCAGCCAGTTTATGAGTATCTGTAGCTCTGTCGACCCGAATCCTGAACAGTGTTCTCGCATCCCAAATCCTCAAGATGTATCTTCCGCTCCCTCCACCCCCTCGACTTTCAAGCCCCGAGTTGATTCCACTGGAGGACATGGCCGAACATGCTGGGGGCAGCTTCGAGGAGGAAGTGGCAGCACGGCAGTACAGGTTCGGCGAGCGGCCCATCAAGTATCATCCGGTTCAGTAGCGCTGGGTAGTTTTCAATTGCTTCGTGTTAACTGTATGCCACAGTTTAACCCGTCACAGCATATCAACGAAGCAAGCGGCGGAAATAGCAAACAGAGACTCGGCCCTGACATTTTGATCTTTTCTAGCCTGAAGAATTCCTTCAGCTCGATGCGGAAGCTCAGGTAGTTACGGTGGACCGCACCTTCCTGCACTTCTTCCCCCGTGCTCCCTCCGAAGTCTCAGCCGCTGCGCGCTCGGCGCCGGCGCCCTTCTGATGCAGCGAAGCTGCTCAGATAAGGACTCGTTTGGAGTCTCGAGCCCTCTCAGGGAATTGCGGAGAAACTCTCCGCCCCACCTATCCGTCCGAAGGTCTTCGGGAGACTTGTTTCATTGGAGCTTATTGATATTTATTGATCATATGAGGGCAGACCGGCCTCGGTTCTGAGCGAGGAGAGCTAGGACGGACTGGAATCTCAATGCTTGTCGTTGCGTGCATGGAGAAGTCTTCTGGATGGGCGAAGCTGTCGGATTGAATCCCACAGCATAGCCCAACGACAGAGACTTTGTAGCGAACCTTTCAGCGATGTTGCTTCCTGTCGAGAGGATCATCATCAGTGGGACTCGTTCTTCTGGAGCTGAGAGGTTTAATTCCAGGTTTTGATCCGAAAGGGATGGGCTCTGATTTCACAGCCATCGCCTCGTGGCAAGCTCTCAGCTTGTCTTCCGGGGATTGGCTGTTCAGAGCTTTCTCTCCCTGTCAAGAGGATGTCGTTCCCACTGTAGTCACGGCTGCTGCGAGCTTTCAGCTTGCAGCAGCTCGCTGTGTAGCCTCTATCTTATGCATGCAAAACTAAGGGCCGTGTGTTTGTCTTTCAGCTTGAAGCCCACGTTCCTTGACAAAGTTCCACCGATGTGAACGCAGGACTGGAGCGCTGTGGTACACTCCAAACTTATATGCCTCAATCCCAGCCCAAGGACGTCAGAGTGCAAGATCAAATATACCAGGTCCAAGCTCGGGGCCCAATTCAGGATGCACGTCCTTCGGCTTTGTATTCTGAACATCGTCCCTGAACCGGAGGATCTTCTGTTCTGACATACGAACTACGAACATCATCTCTCCAAAAGTGCTACAGTCCCTTTCGCAAAGCTTTCATAGACGGTTTGATCCTGGAGGTTTGGAGAAGTGGATCAACTCCACCCACATGGATCACCACCACCATTGGCACCCCAAGTGGATGAGTGTGGCCCCCAGCTCCGCAGGATGACCCTCCGCTGGGGAGGATCTGGAGGGGGAGTTTGACCCAGATGTAACAGTTGCTTAGTGAGTGAGTGAGTGAGTGAGTGAGTTAGAGTTAGTTATATAGTTAGTTAGGTAGTGAATTAGCTTGGTTGGTTGGCTGGTTGGTTTGATGGTTTGTGCGTTCCCTTGTGTGTGGAAGTGTGTTTCAGTGAGTTCCGTTTAAGGATTCAGGGCTTCGTGTTTCGAATCGAGAGTCGAGGAGTAATGATGTCGGGTGGCGGATGGAGGATGAAGGTTTCTTTGCTGTAGAGATTGCTGGGGAAGGTCCAGACTTGGGTTGTTCCAGTTGTCTTGTCCTAGTTGTACCGCAGCGTCATCTGTAAGTCCTTGCAGGAAATATCCAAAACGAAGTTTCTTGTTATGTGGTGGGGGGTTTGACCAAAGGCCCATGAACTCCGAAACCGGAAGCCATAAACGCTAAACCTAGGCAAGAACCACATGGACCACCACCACCACTGGCATCCCCACTGGCTGCGCGGACTGCGGCACCAGCGGGGAGGGTGGGCCTCGATCCAGAGCTAGGGCTCTGAGGTTTCGGCCTGAGGCTTCGGGTCTTCTGGTTTCCGCCCCAGGTGCTCAAAACACACTTGTAAACCCCAAGCCTTGATCCCTAAAGCCGGAATTCCTTAGCCCAAAGAAGTCGCAAGCCTTTGAGTCCAGCCTTGAAGTGGACCAGGGCCCCAACCCCGTTTGACGCACGGCATGACGGGATTTTTTGGGGCCGAGGAGGTCTTAGGAAAGGTCGTGGGGTTTGGAGTCTGTCGTTTGAAGCCTGGTGTCTGCGGCGGAGGCTTCGACATAAGCATTGAGAGATTCTAACTGGGCTTCAGCAGCAGGTGCTTGTAAATGTAGTTTCCTGGACCCAGAACCACGGACCTCCAGCTGTTACCTTACCGCCGCATTCCTGCCTTTCAAGCCCAAAACCTACCGAGTTTGGCATCGGCAAGAACTTTCAGCCAGGAGCCCACCAAGGCCAGGAGTAAGCCTCCGTGCTGAAGAGTGGCATTATATATACCTGGCAGCCCTAAACGTTACCTCGCAAACCCGATGCCTCGACTCTTCACCATCCTGAGTCCGAGTATACTTCCAACCGATTCAACCTGTGAAGCCCCTTGAGCTGCCAGAAGGCTTCCCCCTAAACCTGAAAGCCTGGACTCTAGACCTGAAGCCTGACCCAACCCCTATCAGAACCTGCCCCTGTGAAGCTTCGATTCAACCGCGCGATAAACACCTCGTGTCCGCAGAAGAGAACTACGCAGGATCCTTCCACCACGAGTCCCCGCCGCCGACGGTGTCCTCTCCGGTGT